GGTGAGCTTGTCTCCATGATCTCTGATGCAATACTAGTGGGTGCCTTTCTGTTTACTCAATACACACTCATTGAACAACTACTATATTAGTATACCCAACAAATGTTTAGTGAGTACTTACTATGTGCCAGGCATTCTCTAGCTGCTGGGAGTTTGGCAGTGAACAGAAACAACAGAAACTCCTGCCTCATAAGCTTATATTTTAATGGGGCAAGAATATGCCAGCCAGTGTGTGTAGGACTGAAAACAAGGACTAAAATACTCCTTGCTGTCAAGGAACTTACAGTCTAAGAATAGTGCAATACATTTATTGTTTGTGGTATTTTAAATAGTAGTCACTTTTTGCAGGGAAACTTTCTCCATTAAAAAATGATTTTAGCTGGGGAGGGTTTAACTCAGTGGTAGAGTGCATATCTAGCAAGCAGGAGGTCCTGGATTCAATCCCCAGTACATTCATCAAAAAATAAATAAACCTAACCACCTCTCCACCCACCCCTCCAAAAAATAATTTTAAGTGGTTCATTATATTCTTAAAAGTGATTTTAATATACTCAAGTGTCAAAGATTTCCCCCCACATAAGAAACATGTTCTGTTTTATAACATGAATCAAAGAGAATATAAGAATTACTTAATATAAATGGTTTCTTCAGCATATTTCATTAGAAATGATATTTTTGAATAATAGGTATCATTAGGGAGATCACTTCAGTCTAGTTTATGCTTTCTGGAATTTTCTGGGGAAAGTGTCAGTAAGGAGGTGAAGGAACAATGTGATGGTCTAGATAAACTGGTTAAACTGAATCTCAGGAACTCTGAAGGTTCTCTCCTCACCCATCCGTAGTAGCAGCAACAATAGGATGAAACTATGATGCGACTTACCTTAATTAGCGTAGCAATTTGCCTCATGTTCTCTAAAAGTGCTAATAAATGTTAACTCAAAATAGATTAAAATACCAGACAAATTGCTACTACCTGGAAAAGAGTTATAATAATTTTGAAAATATAAATTATGGTTATGCAGCCTTTGGAGAGAACTATAAAATCCAATCTTTCTTATATTAAAAAAAAAACCTGTAGTACATGCTTTTTTTCCCCCTTTAATCACAGTAATTTCTTCAAATGACACCACTGCATATTTCTTAGGAAGATACATGGAATTTTTCAAATCTTACGTATAATATAGGAATTGCCATTGATAGTTTTCAGCAAGAGAAAAAGAAATTAAATACAGAAAACCAGGGATCTTGGGGAAATTATAAAAAATTCATCTTTTTGTTCCTTTTTTATATTACATACATTTTATGAGTTGAAACAGAGAATGATTCTTTTCATTCTAACAAGTGGAGTTGTGCATGACAAAATGTCTGCAGAAAGGTGTTTGTAGGCGTAACGATTTAAAATGATTTGGACCCTCCTGGTGTCTTCCACCTAACTTTTTCTCTAAGGCACCAAAGTGCTTATGGAGTCTATACAGAGGTGAGCATAATTTATACTTCTGAGGAGTAAATGAAAATAACTTGAGTATAAAATTCGCCACACTATATCGCCAGGAGACTGTATAAGTAAAAGATAGAACCTTCCCTGGTGGGAGCACATGTAGTTCCCCTGAATAGCTTCTACCCAACAAAGCTCAGAAATGGAATATTTGCATTTTCCCTCCTGCTTTGTTTTCTAGAATTTACAGAACACAGTTAGCAAAAAGACTGCTTAGAAGCCACATTATCTCCACAGAGGATTACCTGTAACATTTTTCATACGGCTATACAAAGCCAAATTACTGCGTATCCTTGCCTATAACCTATGAAAGCCAGAGATCTAACACACTCTAAATTCGCAACTACAGATGCACCTTTCTTCATGCAACAGAAATAGGTGAATTAAATTTTGATAAATCAAAGGATATATAAAACACATTAGGAGAGCTAACAACTTGAATGAACCCTACCGTGAAAGTCTTTGCTAATGTGAACAATTATCCCCTAATTTATATACTTCATAAATCCATATCTTCATGTATCAAGTTTGCTTAAGGTGAATTTTATCTCTCCTTGGCAGAACAGTTATCATATAGCAAGATTTTCTATTTTAAAAAATTGGACCTCTAAAACAAAATGCCTGTCAACCCTTGGTATAAAATTTTGTACAGGCCCATGTGTAGATTAGAAAAGATGTATTGTAGAAGACAGTCCCCATCTTTATGGTAGGTTTAAATGTTTTCTCTTCTCCCTCCATTTTTCATCTATTTCCAGTTAGTTGTTCCTTGAATTGTAAGTGATTTGGACCGCATTTACTCCCTTTGCAGTTCTTTGTCGATTTGGTGAAAGTCCTCTGACCAAATGAGTGTAGCTCTCCTTTAGTGAGACCTGCATTTTGGGGAGGTTTGTTCATGGCAGGAGGGAGAAATGTAACCTAACCACAGCCTGGGGCACATCAGGTAGAGAAAATGGAGGGTTTTCTGGATATTTGAACCCTGGACTGTGTTACTAAGAAAGGTTCTGGAATCTCCTCCAGAAAGCATAAGATAGAATAGATTCTTTTTGTGTATGAAGTATGTTTTCAGGGTTACTTCTTATCCTGTGATTATTTCGTTTTGAATATTACAACTAATGTTATCAAGTTTATTTCTGAAATATCTCAGAAGTGGAACAACATTGAGAGAATTGGTCACCCTAATAAAGTGCCAACTCAATAAATGACCATTTATCGAGCACCAGCTATACTAATAAGAGGTACCATCTGGGGACCTTTTTATGTCAGTCACAGTGTTAGGCACAGCATTTAATCCTTATGACAGTCCTATAATGTAAGTACTAGTTGAGGAAACCAAATATAAACGAAGCGAAACCAGGATTCAGACCTGTTCTTGGTTGACTCTAAAGTCCACGGTATGAACCACAGTTGGTGTGTTTCCTCTCTAGTTTGATACAGCTCGACAGCCTTAATGATAAAAGGCAGACTTTGGTCCCCAGACTTTGATTCAGGTGTAAAAGAGAGTAAAGAGATGATTGGAATGCAGTGCGAGAGTGCTTAAATAAGAGACAGGCCTTGCAGGTGCCTGCCATGGGTGCACAGAAAAGGGGTACCTAGCCCAGCCTCCTGGGGAGATAGGCTTGCTGAGGGAAGGCTTCCTGAAGGAGGGAATTCCTGAGCTGAATATGAGTTCCTCAGGAAATGGCCTTTGTGATTTGTGTGTTAGTGTCTGGCTTTGCCTTGCTCTTGAGTTTCTATTTCTTATTTGTAGTTTGTTGTTATTTTCTCATTCATTCACTGATAAGTAGGCCTGGCTCATGAATACAAAAACTGTTGTGGCTCTTGTGGATCTTACACTGGAGCAAGAGTAGACTTTAAACAGAACTGTAAACTAACTTTGAAGGTACCATGAAGGAACAGTAGGCTATGTTGGAAGAGTGAATAATCTGGAAGCCTTACCTAATCTGGGGAGGGGAGCAGGGTGAGGGCAATGATCAAAGTTCCCTGGGTAAATGACATTGAACTAAGAACCAAGAAATCAGGTTCTGGACGTGGAAGTGGACTTGAGAAGGAGACTTTAAGAGGGAAGTAGACTTAAAAGTATTCCACATAAAGAGAACAGCATGTGCAAAGATCCTGAGGCCAGAAGGAACTTGGACAGCTTGATAACCTGCAATGAGGTCAAGTGACTTAATAGTATCAAAAATATAGTAGAGAAAGAGAGCCTGGCTAGATGATTCATGACCATCTCTTTTTTATTAAAAGTGATTTTCTTTGTGTTTTTGAGAACACAGTGTTATACATTGTGTCTATATCACAGAAAGAATTAACTGCATGGCTTGGTTGAATTTGAAATGAAAGTTGACTTTAAGGCTTGAATAGAAATTCTGACAAAGGTGATCATCAATGTAGTATTGAAATATCAATTCTAAATTTAACAAAAAGATTATATATAATGTAGTTTACCAAATCACCCAGAAAACAACATGTTATTTCAGAAAAGTGCAGATGACTGAATGTCATGGTCGTCATACTTCCAAGCAGGCTTTCATGCAAACAGCAAGGGTTTGATGTTGGTTTCCATTTTTTCCTGGTGGTCTTGATCTTTTTCAATAATGGACAGACCAGGAAGGGGAGAACAAAAATGTGTATCACCAGAATCTTCTTTCAGACCAGCTTACTCAGTATAAATGAAATATTGATGTATGTGAAAATGCCCAAGTGTTCAATAAAGATTTTAAATAAAGCCACCTAAAAGTTGTGGTTCTTAGGTTAATCATTTATTTATCTAAAGGATGAAGGAAGCTGTCTACTTCTGTGATATGAGCTACAATCAGCTTAAAAATAATTGACAAATTAATCCCTTCACAGCACAGCAATTGTAAAGGTGTTAGTTTTAATTAGGCCTGTCTGATTGCCTTGTCTAATCAAGAATCAAGGTGGTATCTTTGATGGTGAAGGTCTATTGGGGCCATCCCTGACCTGCCAGCCATGTATGTTTTAATTATTGATTCCTCACATTTCAGCCCTTTTCACAAAGGGAGTTGAAGTTTGCAATACCTTAACATTTAAAGGGAAGAAAAATAAACATTTTCCCTAACACTTCTGTCCAGAATCCTGTGTATCCTCTCCACCAATCTACAGTTTTGTCCTAAACAAGCTGTCAGGTTGATGATGAAGTCAGTCACACGTTAGAATACTGTCTTACTGCTGCCTTACCTCCCAAGCACTAGATTTTCAATGGGCATTGTTAAGATCTTGACAAGTCACAGTCATTTAGGCTTCTAGAAAACACATTTGATTTCTTGATATCATGTGTATTTTTAAAAATCCCTAAGGGTGAATGTAGTACTTAGCAAATCAGGGAGGTCAGACAGAAAGTGACACTGTCTTCTCACAAAACACTTGCTCCCTCTGCTGAGAAGGAATGAAGCAAGGGTTCCCAGCACTAGTGTGTCACACCAATGGGCGTGGGCGGCCGGTGCTTTCAGTGGTCCCCGTGCGTGACGGTGGCTCTTCTTTGTTCTAGGTCAGCGAAGTGACGGTGGAGCAGCTGGTGCAGCAGTACCCCCACATCACCTTCAGCACCGTCCTGCAGGACTGCAAGAGGACCTTGGAGAGAGCCTATCAGATGGGCTGGACCCCCAACATGTCTGCCGCCTCCTCCTAACACCCCTGCCCACTCTTTGGTCCTCTCGGGTCACCCAGGAGGGTGGAGAGGAATCACAGATTTGGGTTGGGTGATCTCTTAGGTTTAAAGTGTCCTGTGTCTACATGTGTACCCAAGCGTGTGTGTTTGTGTCCCATTTGCATATTGCATAGCATAAGCGCAATTGATGTTTGTTCCCAGGTGAGCTGGGTTTTTTCTTCAAAATTATAAATTTTGAAAGACACAGACCTTTAGTTTCTTAGTTCAAAGGCTTATTTCTCTGGAAAAAAATTTTTTTTTTACTGTAAAATCAAAAAAAAATTGGAACCATTCTTTTGAGGTTCTGATTACTGCCACCAGAGATGCCCCCAGATGAAGGCAGCAGCTGCCTTCTCTTTTCACCGGAAAGGATTGTGCACATCTACTGGTGACGACCAGAACAGTAGCAATGTTGCACTAATTAGAAGCCTGGAAACCAGTACTTTTCAAAATTTCAAGCACACACACACCTGTTGGTTCTCATACTTTCTCATACACACACCCCATGGCACGTTCTTTCTAGATCATTTTCTGACAGAGGGGCCTTCTTCCAGGCCACTGAGAGGCATGTCATGCACTGTGGATCTGCCTGTCTCACTGTACCCACAGGTGGCTGACCTGCTGTCCAGTGGGTGGCTTAGGGACTAGAGCGAATAAAGCCTTTTGTGAAGTTTCATATGGAGACAACACTCTGAACTCCCTGACCCAGCTCACAAAAGTTAATTATTCATTATTCTATAAAATTTGGTTGAGTACTAAGTATTTTGAGTTTGACGTTAACATTGTGTTAGCTTTTATTTCATGGATGGTAACTGGTCCAGATATATTTTAATGATATTTGGAGCTAATCTTAACATTATCGACATAAAGCCACCAATGTAATGAATAGTGTGCAATTATTTTAAAAAAACCAACAGATCATTTAATTACTTTTCTTAATTTTGGTAATTATGAAAATATATTTCTGAGATTTGAGGCTAGTCAAATTGATAGAAGATTAATGAGTGAGATATAAGTAGACAATCTTCCTACTGTTTTGTTTTTTGTTTATTGTTTTTTTTTTGCATTGCTTTGGGCTTTAGAACAGGTTTTTTGGATATATGCATGTTATCATATTTTGAATAGTTCTTATGCTGTTGCAAAGATCTATTGCTGGTTAATGTATGAGTTAAGAAGAAATATTAGAAAATCTTTTCATTAAGATTCTGTTTACACTTGTCAGAAATAAGCATTTCTTTGTTTAATTAAAGATTTCCAGTCTTCAGTTTAGACAATATCTATTAGTAAATGAATATATGTTTTGATTTCACACATCTTTACAATTAATTCATAGTAGGGACTCAGGCTCAAATAACCTTCCCTATGTCAAGATTTATAATCAAGACAGCAGGGAGCCTTTTTAAGCTAAAGAGTGATTATCTTTCACAGTAGAGCTAGATATACAAAACCCTGACTTGTGAGTTGGCTATTTATTCTTCCCCATTTTGGACATAAACTGTTTCTTGGCCTTTAACAGATACACTAAGATTTCAGTTTCACTTTATGTAATTCCCAACACTGCTAAAATGAATGCTTCAAGCTGTAAGAAACAAACAAACAAACAATAGCTTTACATTCAAATGCCATTCACTTATTTATAATAACTCTTTTTTTTGTAAACAACTATTTCCTTTGATTATGTCAACATGTTTCCGACGTGGCATGTCTTTGGCTTTTAATCCCAATCAGTTTGGAAAATCTAGTCACTAAGCACCAAGAGTATTTTTCCATCACTAAATGGGTTACTAATTTAATTTGAAGGGAATAAAATTTGTGTAAGAAAACAGCTGTTTACTGTTAATAAACTGTAGTTCTTCTTACACAGCAAGCTGTATCGTCTTCGTATTCATTTCCCCACCACTGAAAAGTATCTTCATCCACGATATTTTAACTGGTTTTTAATCCAAAACTAATTTATAAGACAATATGTATAGTAAAAGTAGCTTGAGTGAATAAGCAAAAGTTTAATTTTTATATATGTCACACTATATTTTAAATAGTTAAAAAAAGACAAAAGAAGGGAGAGCCGTCGACAATAGAGATGGTGCCGTTTCAGTTCAAAGTTGTAATAATCCTTGGAGTGTTACAGTTTGGTTGTCAGATGGTTTCAGAAGTGTATAATTGATTTTTTTAATGTTGCGTTGTTTGAATCTAAAGTACAGCACTATAACATGCTTCAGCTTGGGGGGTGGGGGTGGGGCGGGACTTGCACTTATTCTTTAAGATGTTGACTAATCCAGAAAGCCTGATGCATCATAACCTGGAAAACTGCTTTGGTATATTTGTAGGAATCTGTAGAAATATCATATCCAGCCTCAAAGCATTAATCTCAATAAACAACCAGAAAAAGCATCACCTTGAATGATCCTGTGATGGTTGTTGAATGTGTCCTCATTAGATGCTTTGAAATAAGGCCTCAAATGATTTTTCTGGGCAATATAGAGGTTTTTTTGGTTTTTTGGTTTTTTTGGGGTTTTTTTGTTTTTTTTTGCTTAGAATGTCATAAATACATGTGAACATGTTTAATGCAGGGCTTTTTATCCTCTCCAAAATGTCAACAGTATTTTCAGAATAAAGACTATGAAATATATTGCTGTAGTGGAAAATTCTGGTCCTTTATCTTTAATGTCTTTTTGAGTGGATAAAGGAAATTCATCCAGTTTGTAGTTTCTATATTTCTGTGAATCTTTTGACCTTGCAATGGGTTGCAATAAAAGAGAAACAAAACAAAATGTCTTTTGTTTTATTTTAGAGACAATAAATGGCCTCCCTGTTGCTGGCTGGGTGTGATGCGCGCAATGGTCCCTGTGCTTGTGTTTCACTACAGACTTTATGTAGGTTTGACTAACCCAAAATAATAAACAAGACTGGGTTTAGGAGGTTCTTGTTTGGCCAGTGAGTACTGAGATAAGATGAAAATGTCAAGGGTTTAAGCAAGTGGTTTGTTTAAAATACTATTCCTTAAACACTTACTCATTTGCTTAGCCATTTATTCAATTTTTCAAAAGTTAACAAATAAATGTATTGAGTGAAAAACCTGTGTCAGGCACTGGGCATTTAAAATAAATACAAGTCGTTCCCATCTTCATGTTGCTCAAAGCCTAGCAAGGAAAGGTTCTTAAAAATTAACCAGAGCGGTGGAACAGAAGAGAGCTAATAACAGGCATAATTTGAAGGAACACGTAGGACAGAGTAGCAGGTTTGGGAAGGAAGGACCTCACTGAAGAGGATGTTTCAGTGAGGGTTGAAGGAGTAGCAGGAGTTTATGAAACTTACTGTGGGGAAGGAAGGGAGAGCAGCCTGGAAAATGGAAAAACACGCAAAGGCACGAGCAGATGAGACAGCAAGTCAAGTTCAGCGTGTTAGAGGAGGATACATCCCTTAGAAGCAGTCGGTAGGAAAAGGTTCTAGAGAAAAAACAAGGGCTATTCATAAACGTTTCATGGCTAACTGAAAAAAACAGGAAAGAAAGTAGGAAAGAACAGATCCACTAGAGAAGTCTTTCCCTAAATTCCTTCAACAAGTAGGAATTTAAACACAAGACTTTTTATTTATGGAAATACGATGAAATGAAGACCCTGAAGGATTTTCTGCTATGTAATATGTAAAATTTTTCATTGCAATTTTTTAAAACCCTTTTTAATGACTGGATGTGCCTGTAAGAAAGCAAAAGAAACCTTTCATGGCCAGAAACAGTGGGAACATCAGTCTAGAGCAGGGGGTTCGCTAAAGTATGGCCCCAGGCTAAACATGGCCAGATGTATATTTTTGTAAATAAAGCTTTGTTGGAACACAGTCATACACATTTGTTTACAGATTCTTTATGGCCGCTTTCATGCTGTAACAGCAGAGTTTGGTGGTTGTGAAAAATGCCATGCGGTCCATGAAGTCAAAAATATTTACTGCCTAGCGCTTTACAGATGTTTACTGACACTTGGTCTAGAAGAATGGATCTCAAAGTGTGGTCCCCAAACCAATCAGCATCACCTGGTAACTTGCTAGAAATACAAATTCTTGGACCCCACGTTAGCACTACTAAATCAGAAACTCAAAAAATAAGTCCCAGCAATCTGTGTTTTAGAAAATCTTCCAGGTGATTCTGATGCATGCTAAACTTTTGTCTCTAGAAAGGTAAGCATGGAAACTACTAGAATGTGGCACACTGTATTGATTACTATTGCCTAGATAATGTGTACAGAACTTGGGCCAGTTCTGTACTGGGAGCATCAAGTCACAGTCCTCCTCACCTGAAACCAGGATCCCTGAAAAGCAATATCCTTTTACAAAGAGTGAACTAAAATAGAACAAAGCAGAACAAAAACTGGAAGGCAGACAGTAAGAAAAATTACCGTTTTCAGGCTTGCCTGTTCATGGGTTGTTCTTTTAAAAGGTTTTCCTGGAAACTAATGACCGCCGACCACCATTCACATGGGTTTATCTGAATCCACATTACTATTTGCATCGTCTGTGTTGCTTATTGTTGTATTTTTTTAAAGGATTCATCTCTGGAGTTCTCATTGCATGACAAAAGCAGACAAATTCATCCCAGGCCTCAGACCCCACAAAGAGTGCTAGCAAATATAAATTCACAATCTAGATGACAAAGGGAATAAGCCAGTATTAGTTCAAGTCAACAGGAAAAAAACAAACCATAGACCTACATCCTCAAAGACATCGATATTAAATGTTAAGATACATAAATTTAGAATAAATGCTTGAAATAGTCAAAATATTAAAAACTATTTATAATATATGTAAGAAAAATAAAAAAGGACCTACCAAAAGAACTAGAATTTTTAGAAATGAAAAATACAATAATTGAAAATTAAAATGGAAAGGCTTTGGTAGAACAGATTCAGCTATAGAGATAAACTGAAAGTTAGAGATAAGTAAAATAAATGGAAAATTGAAAAAAAACAGCCTTTTTTCTTTTTATATACATATATTTATTGAAGTATAGTCCGTTTACAATGTTGCGTCAATTTCTGGTGTACAGCACAATACTTCTGTTATATAGGACATCATTCATTTTCATATTCTTTTTCACCATAAGTTAGTACAAGATATTGAATGTAGTTCCCTGTGCTATACAGTATAAACTTGTCTTTCTATTTTATTTATATTAGTTAGTATCTGCAAATCTAGAACTCCCAATTTATCCCTTCCCACTCCCTTCCCCACCTGGTAACCATAAGTTTGTTTTCTGTGTCTGTGAAGTCTGTTTCTGTTTTGTAAATAAGTTTTTTTTTTTAAGATTCCACATATAAGTGATATCATATGGTATTTTTCTTTCTCTTTCTGGCTTACTTCACTTAGAATGACATTTTCCAGGTCCATTCATGTTGCTACAAATGGCATTTTTATTCTTTTTGATGACTGAGTAGTATTCCATTGTATAAATATACCATGACTTCTTTATCTAGTTATCTGTTGATGGATATTTAGGCTCTTTCCATGTGCAGCCTTTTTTCTTTTGTGTGGATAATATCCATATGGATGACTGAGAGATTAAGACACGTGAGACGTAATATGAGACCTTCCAACATGTCTATCTAATCTTGCACAAGAAAAAATAGGATAAGGGAAAGACAGTGTTTAAAGATATAATGGAGTGTCCATTTGTTAACAGAGAAGAAAAAAGATTTTGGAGGAGAATATCAAAGGCTCAGTTTTGGATGAGTTAATTTTGAGATGCTCATTAGACATTGAAGTGAGTGTGTTGAGTATGTTGTGGAATATAGAAGTCCAGTTCTCAGGAGAGGTATACAAATGGCACTTAAAATCATGAGCCTGTCTGAAATCATCATCTGTGGCCATCATCCATAACTTTAGGTAGAAAATGAAGTCTAAGGACTGTATCTTTGGTCACTGCAAAATTGGAAGGCAGGGACAGGAAGGAAACTCTTTAAAGAAACTGAGGAACCTAAGAGGTTGGAAGACAGCCAGGAGCGTGTTCTATCCTGGAATCAAGTGAAAACAAGCAAAATTAAAGAAGCTATTATTTAGGGACATCGTGTATTAATAAAAATGGAAAAAGGAACAGATAACAATAGCTCAGTTTCAGAACAGTGGTTACCCTTGGGTGGGCAGCCGTGGGACCACATGGAGGGCTTCAACTGAATCTGTAGGTTCCACTTCGTGAGTTGAAGAGTGGCTTCTCCAGTGTTTGTTTTACTAATATGCTTCATAATATATGAATATGTAAGAAATTACTTTGTTTCAAATAGTTTGTTGAATTTTAAGGGAAAGAGTTTTATACCTTGTTTAAATTGATTGATTATCCGAGATTGCTAAACCTAGATGCAGGGTTCCTCACCCTTCGGCAGTGGAGGTCAGCTTTGTGTGAAGCAGAGCTGACGCAATCCCATGTCTAAGCAGATGGCAGAGTGAGAGAACATGCCAGTCTCATCCTTCTCCTCTCCTGTGCTGGACGCTTAGCACTGCATGCCTCCCTGGTTTCTAGCTGACCATCATTGGAATTTTAAGTGAAATAGTATGTGGCACAGAGACAGCTGTGAGAATTCTTGTGGCATATCTGTCATGTCATTACCACAGGAATCAAAAGACTGCTGCACTGTTTTGTAAAGCAGTGGGGGGCCCTTTCATTATCACTTCATTTTTAATTACACAGACAAATCTGATATCAAAACCTTTTAGTAATACAGAGACTTGTCTGATAATGAGATAATCTTTAGTTGACATGAACAGTCAGAGTCAAGTCTATCCATTTCGTTATATGAATAAACCACAATTTACCTACCCATACTATCACTGGTGGATATTAGATTGTTTCCTGTTAAGCATTATGCTTATTCAAATTAATCCCAGTTTCTTGAGATAGTTAGTAGATACAAATGTAGTAATGTGTCTTCTTCAGTCCCTAAAATTTATTTCCAGGAAATAAACTTCGAAAAACTAAAATCATCTCCTAAAGAACATCCCCTTTCCTATGATTTTGCTTGGCTAATAAAACTGTGTTTGGATGCCATCAGCCTGAGAAAAGAGAAACAGCCAAAGGGCAAGTGTTTATTTCAGCTCTTTTATTCACCACGTGATGGATGGAGGTTTCTTGTGCTTTTTCTACAGTTTGGCATAACCGGGGAGATCTGGAGATGAGCGTATCACTGTCAAGTGGAGTGAGAATGCATAGCTAGGCCAGGCCAGTGGGCACTCACTGAGTTCTCTTCTTCAGCCTGAAACCTCCCAATGGCGTGCCTGTGTGTGGGATTGCGTGTGCATGTGTATGTGTGTACGCTCACGTGCTCACGTGTACCACACAATCACAAATGATGTCTACTGAATGCAGTCTGTTTAGTCTTCTTTCTTCCTTGGAGTTTTCAGTGATTAACATAATGGAAAATGAAAAATTAATGACTCAAGAAGGGCTTTTTTAAAAGGAATGTTATTTTTAAAAAAAAAAAAATAGATGCTACCTTGATGGGCCTGGGTGGCTACTAACTAGGGTGATTTTGTAAATAATACCAAAATGAATGGAGAAAGCTCAGCAAGCTTGATTTGGTTAACAAATGGCCCTACTGTAATTTCAGCAGCATCTTGCAACTGAGTCACTTATCGGCGTAAGTGGAAAAAAGGACATGTTGATAATTGGATTTCAATGAAGCTTTTACTAGGGTTTCTTTGATTCCAAATCAAAAGATGGATTACTAGTCAGGGTTCATGAAGGTAAATACTGGGAGGGACGCTCATAGATAACTTAAATAATTGGGTTTAA